AAATAAAATAGGCGAAAGGGTAGATTAAAATTGCAGGAATTTAATACTTCCGACACTTTGTTCTACGATAAAATATTTTAACGTAGCCTTTTTTGCTTCGTTCTAAAATTCTGCCGGAATCATATATGTACAGGTCACAAAACGATTCGGACACTATTTAGAACATTGTAACTTTTTAAAAATTTGACCTAACGATTTGACGTTTTTTGAGAAGTTAGGAGGACTAGTTTACTGCATGACGTGTGCAAAACATTTGGAAAAAATTGCAATTTGTGGGAATTGCGAGGAAAATAGCGGAGTTCGCTTTTTACAACTTTTTTATCTGAGCTCGTAATGAAAATTTAAGAAATACGTTTTGCAGATCTATGTGAATTATACACACGCTGAAAATTTCATCGAAATCGGTTGACGGAGAACCAAGCAACGGCCACCGAAAGATGTAAGAATCTTCAGATTTATTAGTGAAATTTCACAATTTTGAACCGTTTGTAGCTCATAGCAACATCAACCGATTTCGATGAAATTCTCAGCATGTGTATAATTGACATAGATCTACAAAACGTATTTTTTAAATTTTCATTGCGAGCTCGGATAAAAGAGTTGTAAAAATTCCCACAAATTGCAATTTTTTCCAAATTCTTGGTACACGTCGTCCCTTCTAACTTCTCAAAAAACCTCAAAACGTTAGGTCAAGTTTTTAAAAAGTTACAATGTTCTGAATAGTGTCCGAATCGTTTTGTGACCGACTGTACATACATATATGTAAATATTTAAAAAAATTAAATTAAAAAAAGAAAGATATATATATACTTTTTTTTTAAATTTATTTTATTAGCAATCAGAATACATTTCTACGAGCCAATTTGCTGACTTGGGTACTATTCTCAGCAGCTCTTACAGCGTGATGAGAACTCGTCCATTGACAGGTCCTTAATTAAGTCTGCTGGCCATAATTATAAATATAATGTAGAAGTATTTCCCCTGCGACACAAAACGTGTTAATAAAGTCTGCACAAAATTCGTCAAGCATTTGTAGAGCTAGCAAATTCATTCATTATTCTCATTCGATTCGCGTTGCAATTTTGTTATTGACATTGGTGTTAAACCATTAAATGTTGCATTAATCACGGCTGTATTCGAGTAATCGGAATCTCGATTACCCAAGCATGGTGTCGTTCGCTGGAAATTCTTTCGTCATGGTTCCTCGAATTCTTTCATCTCCTGCCAATCGTGCGTGAAATGCTCGGTTTACATAGAACGTCGACATCAATTATTACCCAACAACGACATTTCTCCGACAGTTTCAGCAAACGATTACCAATGTTTTGCCACAATTTCATTTTTTTAAAAAACCCAGTAGGTGTGTTTTTTTCATTTTTCATCGACACTTCTTCACGTTTCGAAGGCTTTAAATATCGCGATTCGGTATTTATCGTTATGTAATTACAGGAGACACGATGTTCGAAAGTTATGGAAGTTATTGTAAAATGGAGAAAGTGTTGGAAAATATTTTTCGTATTATCGTTCAAGTTTCAAATGCTTTGAGAATATCAAGTTAAGTGTTTATCGTTGTGCAACAACAGGCGGCACTTCGTTTGAAGTTTTCGGAATTATTATATTAGGTTGTCCGGAAAGTTCGTTCCGTAATTTCAGAAAAAATTCAAACTGACGTATCTCTATTTCTAATTCAGATAGCGACAAAAACCAAAAGGTATTTTACTCGTTATGTGAAGATAAATCCGATGTACCCCTAAAATTTCTCCTAAAGCGAACTATATTTTCTGCGGTAGAGCGTTGCCACGAAAAATTCAACAACCTCGCTCCAATGCAGAGAACACAGTTAGACTTATGTCCATCCCTGTTCATCTTACAAAGAATTTGAGCAGTGCGTTGGATTCACCTTTAACTGTCGAGGAAAGTACCGTTTAACTTTTGTTACTATGTCAATTAGAAACAGAGATACGATGGTTTAAATTACGGAAAGAACTTTCCGGACAACCTAATAGATTGGGGAAAATTATTCTTCACATTATTATTGGACAAAGTGACAGAATTTTATTTTTTATTGTAAGAACAACAAAAATGATATCTTTATAACGTTTAAAGTTGAAAATTATATCTTGTATAAAAATGATGCCTTTGAGCCAGCGCATAAGTGATTCGCAGCGTCAATGACATCTTAATTTGTAACATTGAACATCTTTCAGGCGTCTTTTGGACACCTTCAAGCTTCTCTACTCGACATCTTCAAGACGTTCGCAAGAACTTCTGTGTTCCATCGTTGTATAATCAATAAGAAAACAGAACAAGCAGAAAATGATAATGATTGTTTAATAACAGCGTACAATGTATCATAGTACGAAAAAAAGAAATTCTGTTTATCCATATCGAAGTTTAATTGCCCGCCTACGAGCCATACCTTGCAGCTTACGCCATTTTCATCGGTATCGCCCAGCGGCAGGGCTCGAATAATCGCCTGGAAAATGATCCCGTCGTAATGAACTTGTCCCAATTAGGCTGTGGACGCTCGTTAGAAATGATTGTTCGCCAGGCTGGGTGTCATTGTTCCGCGGTTGCGTTTCGCAAAATGTAATTGCTCGGAGGCTTATTAAGAACTCGGGCGTAGCGATACGTGACGGAATCTCGCGGAATTTGCATCGAACCTCGTGTTCCAATGAATCCTTATACTTATCGTCGATAGTAAAACCTAAGCAGAATCGCAGATCTGAGGAAATTTCGTTCGGTGAAAGCTAGCTGGAATGATCCAATAGTTTTTTCTTTTTTTTTGTTTTGTTAAAGAGTAGGAGGATTTTGGTACGGAAATTAGAGAAAAATTATATTTACGAAATTAAGAAACGCGGGATTGATTAATTAACGAAGTCGATGAAAATTCGTTAAGATTTATTGCACAAAGGGTAAAATAAATGTTCTAGGGGTTAATGGTAAATTTTAAAACAGGTAAATATTAAAATTAAAAATGTTTTGTCGTTATCATATTTTACTTGGAATAAAAGAATCGTTTATTCATTTTTATTTATTTAATTTTACAATCTTCTGCATTTAACTTTAGTTCTTCCAATAGTTTCACCAGAAGGGAAGATGGTCCTATTGTTATTTCATTATTACGACGATCAACCTTGCTTATGAATACTTTTCTTGCAGTGTATTCACCATGAAACAATTACCATATAATATAATGTACCGTCAATCGTGCGAAAACTTTGCTGCACCGTGAAAATGCAAACTTATGTACCGTGTTATACGAATCTCTGCTGTACTATAGTCTCAGAAATCAAGGAAATCTCTTGTTCTTCAACTTGGAAAGCTTAACAGAAACCTAATTCAACCCTTTCGCTACGACACGCTTGTGACAAAAATTGTGCTGTTAGAAACACTGGTACAAGAATGAAGATACATACGATTGAAAATGAATTGTTTCACGATAGTCAAACGTCTGGTGTATTCTGACGTTGCCTGACTTTTAGTCGACAGCCGATTTTATCTATAAAATGAAAAAATATGTATTGGATGGACGTACTTAAACGCTCTTCGTGTACGAGTGATAATTTTTACTAGGTGTAGAAATAAATTTCCGCTTCATTTAAAAAGAATGAAAATAGATCAATCATCGAAATAATTTCTACCTGTAGTTTGATGACCTTATGCTACTTTTCTGGCAGATTGCGATAGAAACTTGGTGGCTTTGAATCAATTATGCGAATCCAATCGAGAAGAATTTATTTCTGTATCTAATATATTAGATCTATCGGAAAGTTCTGTCCGATAATGTCATCTCAAGATCCAAAGATGAGTCATTCTACAGAAATAGGATCCACAAATTACCGTCACGCTGGGAATAGGTCAGTAACGGTGGAAATTATATTGTCCGGTAAATATTTTATAAATGTATTATTTTTCTTTTAATTCAAAAACGGAGAGAACTTTCCGGTAGGCCTAATATACAGTCGGTCACAAAACGATTCGGACGCTATTTAGAACACTGTAACTTTTTCAAAATTTGACCTAACGATTTGAAGTCTTTTGAGAAGTTAGAAGGGATGACGTGTGCAAAAAATTTGGAAAAAATTGCAATTTGTGGGAATTGCGAAGAAAATAGCGGAGCTCGCAATGAAAATTTAAAAAATACATTTTGTAGATCTACGTGAATTATACACATGCTGAGAATTTCATCGAAATCGGTTAATGTTGCTATGTGCTACAAACGGTTCAAAATTGTGAAAATTGAATTATTTCACGACTTTCGGCCTATAACTGTAATAAATCTGAAGATTCTTACATCTTTCGGTGCCTTCTCAAAAACTTCAAATCGTTAGGTCAAATTTTGAAAAAGTTGCAATGTTCTAAATAGTGTCCGAATCATTTTGTGACCGACTGTATGTATATATATATATACATTAGGCCTGTGAAAATCACTTGATTCAGTTTTTCAATAAAAAACCACAGAAGTTCTATAGTGACGGGATTATGGTTTTACCAGAAAAATGGCAAAAGTTTGTCAATCAGAACGGCACGAATGTATTTGGTTTAATAAGATTCATTGGAAATGATATAAAAATTTTTCGACCATCCAATATATATACACCCTTCGTAGCGAAAGGGTTAATCCGAGAAACTACCCTCTTGTCGACGGACATCTCTGTGACAATGATTCTCGCCAGAACTTTGACGCAACACCTAACAGCTCATTTCACCTATTGCTCGCTTCTGGTTTCTTCTCGCGATCTCGATATCGTTTCCCCCGGCCGATCGACTCTCTTTTCCCGCGTTGCCAAACAGAAATGCCTCTCCCCACCCCTTATTATGTGAAAATCAAGCGGAACAACGCGTGTGTATGCGTGCGCGAATATTTCACATACACATTGCCCTGTCCACTTGTTTAGCGGCTCTAAGTGGGCGCCCGTATTGTTCCACGACTATATAAGGTGTACCACGGCCCGTTCCACCGTCAGAAAAGCATCAGGTCGTCGATCATGGCTAACATGAGGCTCCTCGTGAGTAACGACCATCTAGATTCCACGTTTCACGCGGTTTCACGTGATTGATAATTCTACCACTGCTAACCTTTTGTTTCCAATCGATTAACGGGGTTTCGTTTCTTTGCTGCTTGATATTGGGTGTCGGGGTTGCTTTACGTGGGGTGAAGATTTGGTATTTTACGGGTTAGCTGAGTTACATAGCTGGTAAATATTTCTTTTTATTCCAAGATGTGGTAAATTTTTGGAAAAAATTATGTGCTTTTGAGATAAGGATTTCTCCGTTTTGGAAACTTTTTAAGTGAAGTTACTTATTGAAACGAAGGATATCGCGAATAAGTAGGGAAATATTTATGAGCAAAAGTGTACGTTGTTTTGGATATTTAGTGTTTCGTTTTGGAAAGTGGAGAAAAATTCGTGGAGGAATTGGTTGGTGCTTGGTTATGGGTGCTTCTGATTGGAAATATTGGTTTAACTTTAACAGTATGGAGTTTGTTTGAACTAATTTGCAGATTGTTTTTGCATATTTTTCTGATTAAGCTTGTTTTCATTGTAATAAGTTTTGTGTTAGTTGTGAGTAGTCTGGTAGTTTTGGTTCTTCAGCTATTCACAAAGTATATTGTTGCACGAAAACTATTTTGAATTAGTCTCAAATTAATTTCAATTCGTTACATTCATTTTTGTATTGTCTATTTTATTCTTCATAAAAGTTTCTCAGTCTACTTTTCAATCTTATTAATCTTCAATATTTCTGTCGAATTTTTTTCAAATGTTTCAAACACTCAAACACAATTAATTTCTATTAACTCATTCTCAAATTGTCCAAGTATGAACTCCTTAGTTTTATTCAATTGCTATCATTTTTGCAAAGCAAATTCAGCTTTTACTAAATTTAGTAATCATTTCCAACATTTTTCTTGTTTCCACCATTTATCAAAATTCCCTTTCAGCTCGTTAATTTTAATACATTTTTAACACATCCTCCTTTCAAGTTTGTCTTTCCATCTCGTTTTAATTTATCAACTCACTCCTCCTTACTCTTCTTCCAAAATTCCCTCAAAATTGACCTCCAAATAAATTAATATACCTTAAACATCGTCTACCCCTCACTTCACACTTTCTTCTACTCTACATACTCTTATCACTCCTCTTACAATAACCGTCACTCTACAAAATACCTCCGAATACATTTAAAATTCCTCAAACATCCTCCATTCTTCACTTCACACGTTTCTCCACACATCACTCCTTCTACATCCTACACCAGAAAATTTCTTCCAGAATACAACCTCACTCTCATTCCCACCCGAAACCTACTCTACAAAATTTCTACCACAATTCAACCTCTTTCTCACTCCAGTCCTCTCTGTGTCCTGTCACGTCCTCTATCAATCCTACACCACAAAGTTCCCTCCACAATTCAACCTCTTTCTCGTTCCAGCTTCCTCTCTCGTGTCTCGTCCTCTCAGCATCCGCTGGCTACGCTCCGTACGCAGCCTATGGAGCAGCCTACCACGGTCCTCCGGCTCCCCTGGCCCACGACGGAAGGGTACTCGACACACCGGAAGTGGCTCACGCGAAAGCAGCTCACCTGGCTGCACACGCAGCCGAAACAGCCAAGACGTCTTCGTTAGGCTATGCGGACTACTCTGACGGGAAGTACAGCGACTACGGCGGAGCTTACGTCCCCGCTGCACAGAACATTTATCACGGACCTCCGGCACCCTTGGCTCACGATGGAAGAGTGATCGACACACCGGAAGTGGCTCACGCGAAGGCTGCCCACTTGGCTGCACACGCTGAACAGATCTCGAAGATCTCTCACGTTTCTTACGCCGATCCGTACGCACAGGCACAATGGTGAACGAGCTGAATATACGGCGCCATTGACGACAGAATTCTTTTTTGGAAATTTTCATGGTGTATCGAATACTGTGTAACGCTTAGATTTGAATATATTATAGAAATACATGGGAGGGAAAGAATTTATTTTTCTTCTGTGTGTTTCTTTTTCTCTCGTAGGCCTTGTTGATGTTCTTGTTTCCGGTGTCAGATTCTGTTTTGTGTATAACGGAAAGATCGGAGATATACGGTAGATAATATGTAGCACTGCGGATTGTAAGGATGTGATTGTTAATTCTGGTTTGATATTTTATTAAAGTGGTTGCAAGTATTTACTGAACATTTTTCGTTCTCATTTCTGTCTACGTTCCTTCCTGTAGAATTACACTTTTGTTTTTTAGTTGGCTTTGTAGTCGATTTTAGATTGATATTGTTTTCGTGGAATGTTACATGCAGTTGCAGAAAGGGTTTGAAAAATCGATTTAATTCCTGCGTTGGATAAACGGTGAAACTGCGTGAACTTTGTTTTCTTACTTTCTACAATATTAAAGATTGATATGTATTTTGAAATGGTTGCAGATGTTATCTGTAATTTGGTAAAAAAAATTGGGAAATTCACTTGGAAAGTGTAGCTTCAAGTAAATAGTGAAAAATTTGTATTACATTTTTTGTTAACTACTTTTACTTGTATTTACTTACAGACTGTGTACATTAATATCGACGTTTTCTCTTTAAACAGCAAGATATGTGTATATAATATCTGCATTGTATAATTTAAAAAACAAGGAAGATCCATTTCTCTACGTGAGATTATGAAATAAAGTAAAAAATATTCAATATTACACTCTCATGTTTCACTGTTACAAAATGAATTTAGCATCAGTGTGTGTAAATACGTGGAATACGTTAGAGCCTCTATTCAAAATTTATAAATCAATTTTTATTCAAATTGAAAAATATTCATGAATGTACGTAGGTACAAATGAAATGTAGATATAAGAATTTTGAGCAGTTATTGGTAAAAGCTCTTAAAAATCATTATTATTGTTGTAGAAAAGAAATGAATGTAAAAATAAGAATTTTCTACATTTCATTTGTACACACAATCGTGTGTATGCACCATCTTCCTGAACAACAATCGCACGATAGCTAAGTGCAACAAAGTCTTGTAAGGAATGCGAGATTTCAGCGGGGAAGTGGTGGCCTGGACTTTGTCACCCAGGGTCACCCAAGGGTGCCATAAACTGAGCCCTTTACCCGGAAAATCGAACGAGGAGGCTGTAACGGATTTTCGGGGCAACGCAGGATAGGACACTCTCATTATAGCCACCGGACACCCGAGTACCTTAGCCACCGATTATATTCATTAAATAATACATTTTGGTTGATAGCCTATACTGTGTTCGTATTTTGAAGCTGTGCTAACAGTCTCCTCGTTTCTTGCTACTCTTCGGAATTGTACTTCGTGGTACGCACTTGAAACGTTCTGGTTCGTAACCCTTCAATTATTTATCCAAACTATCTATAAAGAAGCAATCGTTCAATTGTCGTATCGATAAAAAAGAGAAACCTTTCGCATGAGCTGATTGTTTCTCGAAAAATTGTATCTCTCTTTCAATGCCGTTTCGTTTCAATAAAATCGAGATGTAAAGTTACAGTTAAGAGCCGCGGAGTCACACGCGTAGCACACGCTCGTAGCATGCGATACATAGTCATTCAGATCTCCGTCCCGACCACGTTTGTTCCCTTCGTTATCGAAGCGTTGGCGACAAGCTCGCGGGTTCCGTTCAGGTCAGCACGCGAACAATGCGCGACGTGGTCTTTGAACCGGTACAACTGTCGCAACTGTTCGTTACTCGAAAGAAAATAAGGAGAGGGGAAAAAAAAGAAGCGAATGCACCACTTGTGTCACGCGGCTCCGGCAGAGGTGGGTGAACACGGAATTGCGACGCTCGATGGAATTCGTTTCGTCCACTTGCTGTGGGCACCGGTGAAATATCACTCGCGGAGGATATAGAGAGAGTGAAATGCTTGTGAAACACGTTGTCGCCAGGCGTGTTACGTATGCAAAGAACGGAGCCATTTTTTTTTTCTAGCGTCTTATGGTCATTCTTTGGTGATTCAGAAGAATTTTATCACAAAACTGATGTCAACGATGTTAACAACATTGTGGTTGTCGAAGGTTATCAAATTTTCAGTTTGATAACCTGCTTTTTGACATTTTGGAAGTAATGCCGATGATTGGTATTAGTAACGAGGCTTCAGAAAATTGAGAAGAATTTTGTTGGTTTTATTATCTAAGGAAAAGATTTTTCGTGGTTGTCAAATGTTACTAATTATTACTGACTTGCTTCTGACATTGTGGAATTAATAGTATGTTGCTTAGCGAAGAAAATAATTTTTATGGTTATCAAAGGTTATTATATGAAATAACACAATCTTTGAGCCATACATACACAGATAATAAAATATTGTAATATACACAGGTATAACATCCATTCAATCACTCAGAGCAATCAGCATTCTTCGCTTCCTCGTTCTACATTTCTTAACTCGTTCCAAAACCATTTCAATTACTATACTCGTACTTCAATTCGAAAATTCTCATTCAGAAATTCAAACCTCCATAGGGACACTTTCGTGCAGATTCGTTAGACTTCCTACGCAGGCGTCGTTGAATCAAATATTGCACATAGGTGCAAAATAATTCACCTTTTGCACTCGTACAATCATCTGAATTGTAAATTCCAACCAATCAGCATTCCTCACTTCCTCATTCTAAACCGTTCCATTTACTATCCCTGCAACGTCAATTCGAAAATTTTTAGTCACAAATTCAAGACTTCGCAGGGACACGCTCTCGAGCAGATATTCGGTGCACCTTCCTATGCGGGCGTCGAAGTCTCCGGTTAAATACCGAGAACGTCGTGACTGCATCCGCGATGACGTGCGTGTGTCCACGTCCCGTGCATAGCGCAAGGCAAGTTTTATTCCTGACGAGGTTACGGGACAGCACACGGTGTCATTGTTAATGGCTGGTAAATGTTACGGGGCAGGGCAGGCAGCCTTTAAAGCAGAGCATTTTCCTGGGTGTGGTTGTACCCCGTTGTCGCGAGCGTAGTGGGGCACGACAACCATGCGACGACGCCCTGTACCCCTATAAATTGGACGATCCACGATAGTGGAAGTCATAATGCGGATCCAAAGCTCTGTCGATAGTCGCTGGATCGACCTGCGCTGAGCTTCCAGACGACATGATTCGGTATATTGTGAGTATGCCGTAGTTTTCTCTTTATTTTTTGTGTTTCTATACGGTTACTTGGAGTAAATGTGAAAGAATATTGGAACACTATACAAGTTTGCCTTTCTAGATATATATCGATTATATTATAAAAAGATTGGGCTCGTGCCTTTTCGTTAGGGAACGTCGTTTATCGTACTTTAGAATTACGTGTTGTTAGTTTGATGCATTTTCGAATAGAAATTATGTTCAAATATTCGGACACTTGGGGAAAATGAATATTTTGAAACTTTCATATTATTCGTATTTCTAATATTTTAAATTCGTAATACCTTCAATATGATGAGTATTTTTGCCTGTGCCGTGTTTGATGGTTGTTTTGTTAAATTGTTTTAGAGTAATTGTTTCAGTATTAAAAAATTTTGCTGTGAATTCATGTAAAATCACTTCTGCACTGATTTGATCCACAAAGTGAAACGATGAGTGTAAATTACATAATTCGTGGATAAAATCAGCGCACAGGTCATTTTCCATTAACTAACAAAGTGATTTGCTTCTCTCTTGAAAAATGAAATTTTTCCAAAGTTTCGCTTTACCACTAAAGCAACCACGTTGAATTTTTCAACGCCTTCATGTGACAAAATAGGCCTCCATTCTTTCGTTAAAAATTCATCTAATTCTTGAATTCTAGAGGCGAAACGAAAATACATAATTTAATTTCTACCTTCAGACTCTTGTTTCCATCATTTTGAACGTGGCTTACTGTGCGCCACAGTGGTATGGGGGTGGTCACCCAGGAGCTTATGGCGGCCATGCAGCGCCAGCTCCATTAGGACCGGACGGTAGAGTCGTGGATACGCCTGAAGTTGCCCAACTGAAGGCAGCCCATTTGGCTGCTCTGGCTGACGCCAATGCGAGGGCACCCAAGGGTCTGGGTCCTGCTGGTCCTTATCCCGGTCCTGCTGGTTCCTACGCGCCTGGAAACTATGCTGCGCATTACAGGTTTCGCATGTTGTCTCATACTGAAAGAATTTCTGTGTACAGTCAGGCAGAAAATGAGGAAGTTCATTTATAAAATTAGATGCAATTTTTTATCAATATTTAGAGTCAATAGTAATTTATTCTTCGAAGCATGTCTGGTACTGAAATATATAGCCGGAAAGAAAGTGGGAAAATTGAATGGAATTTTTTAATCAATTCTTAGAATTAATAGCAATTCATTCTTTATCCAAAGAATAATTTTTTGATAGAACAAATTTTCTTTAATATTTTTTGCAGACCAGAAAGTAAGAATTTTTAATTATTCTTTGAATCACATTTGAATTTCTTCCTTCTTACAAATTTTTTTTCATATTTCAATTCATTCCATTCTACAATTTCTCAGCATCGCAATTATTTTCAATTTATTCAATTTCACAATTTCTCCGAAATTTTCCTCCTAGCAACTTTTTACACTTCCACATTTTATTACATAGCCTGACTTGAGATAATAATTGATTCAGAATATCCTCCGCATCCTACATTCCAATTATTTATCCTTTCTGCCATAAATTACCCACGTATCTACATATATCTACAAAAATCTGTATTATACAAGCCAACAGCCATAAAAATTTTTCCATTCATTTCACCTAAACTCCATTACATTTATTCTATTTTTCAGTGGACCACCAGCTCCTCTGGGTCCAGACGGCCGAGTAGTGGACACACCGGAAGTGCAGCAAGCTAAAGCAGTGCACTTTTCCCTCTACAACACCGAGGCTCAGCGAGCTCCAGCTGGACCAGCTGGTCCAGCACCTCCGAATCCCTCATGGAACAATCCCTCAGGTGGCTACAATCCTCCTTGGAATTCTGGAAACAATTGGAATCACTATTAAACCAGGCGTTGATCGTCTTCGAGAAAAAAAAAATACGACAAAGCTGACAGAAGATAATTCGTCCACTGTGATCGACGATTTGAAAGGATTTCTAGAAAAATATGTCCTCTTACATCGTCGTGTTCCATCTACCTCCGTTACGAATTTTTTCTCAGAACTCTTCTGCTAAAACGCTTTCCCTTTTTTTTTAAATCTTTAAGCTTCTCTTCTCTATCTCTGTGATTTCTCAATTTCATCTACCTCTCGTTCAGTCTACACTTTCTTCTCTGGTCCATGTATCGTAGAAAAACGCTCGTTGTGAACTTCAGGTTAGTTCCTAGCTTCTCTTTTTTCTACCTACCTCGACAATTGTCTCGACGACATCTTGAAATAAAATTGAACACGTCATTGACGATTCTTTTCAGAAATAGGAATATTGCGATTATTTGAAGATTATCGATAGAAATTATAATTGAAAAATGAATTTGTCAAACAACTTCGGAACACTTCTGTCGAATAACTTCCTCGATTTGATTGTAGAATTTGAAGAAATTCTGTTTTTTTTTTTTTCTTTAGAATAAATTGGAATTAATTTCGACTGATGTTTCATGTTGAAATAGAAATTGAAAGGAAAAATTTGAATAGATCGAAGTTAGCAAAATGGCGTGTCGCGATATGCGTCGAAAGTGAAACAAAGACGGATGTTTGTCGCCGCATGGAAATGAGGTAACGGTGATCTGTACCGTTACAGATATTATCCAGTGAAAAAATCTTCTTGTCACATTCCTGTTCAAGGTGATCTCTTCATCGCTTTCGCGTTCGTTTAGTCAAGGAAAGTCTGCGTTTGCGTGGGAATTAACCTTTGTATACGTGAATAATTCATAGGCAATATTCAATGTTACCTTTATAAATTATTATGCGTGTACATAATGGATGCAATTAAACGTCTCCCCTGGAACAATTTCGAAGAGCTACTTTCTTCCTTCACTGGAAAACCGGCGTCGAAAATTCATTCTGAAAAGTTTGGTAAATAATCGTAAATAAAATCAAGTATCAATGTTAACATTTTTAGATAATGCATTTTGTGCATTTATCGAGTACCGAATGTCACTATAAGGAATATAAGAAAATAATATTCCCGATATTATCCAATTTTGACAATTTCATTTCAAACTGACGTCTCAATTTGAACGATATAAAATAAAATGTTGTACAAAAAATATAAATACCACAGGATACTGTATATCATAATACGCTATATGTACTATAATCCATAGTATAATGCTACACCAAAATCAGAAAATAAAATAAAAATTATCAATACGATACTCTCTATAATTATTATATTCCAATTAAAACTAAAGCACTAATTGAAATATCGATTAAAACACCACAAAAAAAAATTCTTCTCCCTTTGAGAAGAAAAATGTCAAACGAATACAACGATAATTTATTCTACGAATAGTTTGCAAAATCGTGGAACTGCGTTAAGGGGTTAATGGATCGCCTAAGAGTTGCGCGCCACTGGCCTAATCGACTCTATAATCAGGCAACGGGCACGTGTGGTCGGCAAACATGCCCGTGACACGGATCAGATCGATTCGTGCTCGCCTCGGAAAACACGGCAGTGAAAACGAGTTAGAGTTTCAGCGAGTATGTGCAAATCTGATTGCACGTTGAAATCCAACACGTGTTCATGGGCGTGAAAATGGCATCGATTAGTTTATTCAGGAGTTTGGGGTCTAGTGCGAGTGAACTGCAAGCAGGATACTGTGAGTCAGTATCTTTCGATAAGCAATTTGAAACTTCCGGTTTGTACAATTGTTGTAGTTGAAATTCTTAATGTTTACTATTTTTCGTATACGTTCCATTTATTTAGTTTCTTTTTCATGTAAATTTGAACTCGAAAAATTAATACTTAATTTATTCCTCACTAATTTCTTTTATTTTTCGAGTAATATTGAAAAAATAATTTTTGAAGAGTTAGAAATTTTTATTTTCACTCTGTAGATAGAATTGTGCGAGTGTTACACAGGATAAGTTTTTTGCGGTTCAGTTTGATTTTATTGATTACGGTTACAGGAGTGTAAATTGTGAATTTAGGTTGGTATAAATTTTGATACAAAATATTGTATCATTAAATGTATTATCGTTCAAAATTTATTGCTGAATAAATCACTTTATACTAAGAGTGGCAAGAGAGTCAAAAAGAAGGGAGCAAATATCATATAAAATTGAGTTAGTTTAAGTTAAGGTAGATTATACTAGAAAATGATGAAGAATCAGGACTTGGAAGAATTCTTCTGAAGAACTTTCTCCCTCAAATAATATACAAAAGAAGAACATTTATAAAAAGAGATACATGTATTTTTGATACTTTTTCAAGAAATCAAAATAAAATTATGCCCCCAACAATCTTCTTCCATAAATTCTTCCTAAAAGGACAATCAACTTACACTGAACTAAAAGATTATAATTAACTAAAAAAAAAAAAAAATCTTTCCCTTTATATAAAATCGAAAAGAAGAACATTTTCCAACAATATCAAAATTCTCCATACTTCTTATCTCTGTAAAATGGAAACCTCTACCATAAAAGGCTGGGAATCGAGCAAGCCTCATAAATTCGTCCACTGAACTCCACAATCGACAGCACATTAATCTTCTCAGAGGGCACAGGTGCAGTTCAACCAGCATACGAATATATAAATCCCATTAAGAGACACCGGCACTACCAATCGAACTACTAAAACGAACATTTTTCTGGCCCTTTAAAGCGCCGCATTCCGCGTCAGGCTTGATCAATTACGTCCTTGCTGGTACCAGTGTCTAAGGTACACGTTGGCCAAGTCACGGACAGAACCGGTTCGATGTTGTCTGCCGGATAAGTGCAAGGCTCTGTGTACCGGTAGCAGACACCGCTCGTGGATCGTTTGCTCGATCTGGATCGACGCCGTTATCACGAACGATCGCGCGTAATTGACCGTTTAAGCAAAGGGGAATTGTTATGGCAAACCGTTGTTGTCGGAGAATTTTACCTCGCCAACGGTAATGGCCATTTCTATTCTTGTAAATTAATACTACTCGGAAAGCGAGAGAATTGATTTGGTAATGTAACGTGGATTAGGTGAACTACTCGTAAGTTGATACTACTCGGAGTGCGAGAGAATTAATTTGGGAATGCATTCGCGTGAATTAAGTGAAATTTTCATTCTCTACTCTGTTTAAGAAAAATTGAAAATGTGCTATTGTAAATAAATGGTTCTCGGAGAGCGAGATTATTGATTCGGGAATGTAGTGGTGTGGATTAGGTGAAAACTCAATTCGCTGCAGTGTTTTAAAGAAAAAATTGAAAATGTGATTGGAGATTATACGAATTTTGTACGAAGAATTGTGTTCGCCAGGTGTTGATTAATTTGTGCTGGTTTGAAGTGATTGGATGGATCACGGGTTCGGAGAATAATCAGTATTGGTTTAAGGAAATGTGAAGGTTGGAATAAATTAACTTATATTGTTAAATGGTGATTTATAGCTTAAGATTAGGCGATACGAAAAAGGTTGGCTTAGGAAGGAAATAGAATAGAACAGTTATTAGTGAGACAAGTGTTAGAATGTGTTATAGGCAATTGAATTCATTGTTGGACGTCGATATATTGTTTGTACTAGATGTAAGAAACTGACAAACGTAATAAAAATATAATGTTACAGATATTTCAAACTTGCCCAATTTTACTGTTCAATTTTTATAGGAAAAGAAAGGAGAAGTTTTTAAAATAAAATTCTCGCATGAAAGTTACCATTAGTGGCCATTTATCAACGAAGTGCATCAGATACAATTTGCACTTTAACCAATTTTTCTGCATATTACACACGTTGAAAAAAATTTGAACAATGGACTCCACCCCTGTTTGTGGAATTCTTATTGGGTGGAATTTCGTATTATGCAAGGCACAGGCTATGCTGGGAGTGCTCTTCCTTTCGATTTCTCATTAGACGACGCCCATCGTGGCTGCTCGCTTATTTACCTAGTTTCGAGCGTGAGTAATCTGGCACAGTGTGGGATGACAGAATAAGTGCATGATATGCCCACGTGACTTCAAGATACAGCCATGAAATTATAGAAGTGTTGATTGTACACTTATCCAATGGGAATAAATCGAAGGAAAGGTACAGTATATTCTTCACATGTGTAGACCGCAAGGAAGCTAAACCTGACACTCCTAGAGTCAGGGACTACGTTTTCGAGCCTCGCGCCCGCCTCTGTAGTTTGCCGAACGTAGACAAGGACAACGAATAAATGATAAGCATAAAACGTCAGTCGAAGCAACCAAGCGATTTTCATATCAACTTTTTTAATTTTACGTTTTTTTATCCCGAAATTTATTTTAACATATTGATGAGATTTTTCGGATGAAAATGACATAAAACACGACATAATTTGAACAACATTTACTTATTAACACGTTCACTGTCGCGACAGATTTACAGGTTGCTGTCAGGTGGCCACAAGAAAATACATTTTAAGCATAGGATTATAGTATTATGCTTTATAATTTTTTTTTTCAATTGAAAATAATGTCTAGCTAGCTATGACGTCCAAAATTTTTAGTTGACAACATTTATTTTATTTTAATTATTCTAAACATTTGAGGCACTCCAGTCACTGATGACCACCATGGTCATATCGAGGAAACAATCTAATGTTAATACTTATTGAGTGATTAATTTAATTTCATAATATATCGCTTTGGATGAATTACAAAAACAAATTGCTAAGAAATTACATTATATACCAGTGCACATTATCCGTCGAATGTAGAGGGAGAGCCACCGTTTGGTTACCAATTGTTTATCACATAGAGTCGGCCTATCTCCACGTAAAAAAAAAAAAATGTAGGGTCGATTCCACAAGTGTCAGTAAAATGTAGGGTCGATAGCAGCGGAAAAGCTGCTAAACAATTAGAATTAAATGTACGATAGAAATTATTGCAATGATGCATAATGCAATTGACAAATTGAAAG